ACAGTCTATGGTCTGAGGCAGATTTTAAAAGCTTAACAATGGACAAGGATATATATATTTTTGGAGCTGATCACTGTCTGGATCCAGGAATGTTTTTATGGACTCTGGGAACTGTTGGGAATCCAGAGCTTCCTCTCCAGTGTTTTGTTGCCCCACCCTTTTGTGTTTGTCTGTGTTTGGAGCTGGGCGGTGTCATCACTGCTGGAGCTGCAGCCTTTCCACTCACCTGCATCTCATCACCACTTTCCTCCAGTATTTGAAGCCTCCTCAGTCCTTCAGTCTCTGCCAGGTCGTCCGTTACCTTTGTGGTACTTGCTGTGGCTCTAAATGTTGGCTTTTTGGGAAAACCTTTTCGATACAAATCTATTTTTACTCTTTGCAGTTACCTGTCCAGCTCCATAGAGATTCAATTCAGGCCATCCTGTGCTTCCCATCCAGACCATTCCTTTTGATTTTTGGATTAAAAACTTGTCATGCCATTTTTGGAGTTTGTCCTGAGAGTGATTAATTTCTTTTTTCAAGCCACTTTTATATCAATAAGAGATCATTTAGACTTTAGGTGTTTTTATGGCCATTGCTAATGTTATTTACACAAACCCATTTTTGTTCTCTTTTTGAAAATTGTAAGTTGTACCTTTTATGTTTGAAAGTTTACATTTGGTTAACACAATAAACATGTTGGACTCATCAAAAGTTTCCACACTAGTTACGCTGTCCTCATTTTTGGATTTTAATGAAACTTTCTCTCTACTTTTTTCAACTTTTTGCCAATCTGTCTTGTCTGGTCATACTGCAGTTTTAAAGAAGGAGAAATGCCCTTGACACCAATAAAAATGGCCTCAGGACAAACAGTGCGTTCTCTCCAATGGAATAAATCTTAAGCAGACGAAAGCCGTATTTTTACAGACGGTTCGAAAGTCAGTAACATCTGGAGGCTGATACAATACTCTTTTTCTTCTAACCCTTTTCCGTTTCGACCTCCAAGGATGTTAAAGTGCATGAGAGAGGATAATGTACTTGTTTTATTAAAAAGAGGCATTCATTTTTTGGGGTTGGTATTCATGTTATTTCGCTAAAGTCTCTAGCATGGTGTCAGCTTCCCAGTTTTAGTTTCTATAATTTTTGACATACAAACAAAGCCGAGTTGCAGAGACAGCAGATGGTCAGCACAAGATCATGTACGGAATCGGGATGGAAGCGGAAGTAAATATAACCAACTACCTAAACTAATAGATCTACAGTGTATGCCTAAACTTAACCAGCTAATCCCATAGAAAACCCCAACCTGTCCTTAACACTAACCTTAACCTTCTTACTCAGACAACCTAAAACTTAAACCAGTCACCACTAAAGGACTTATTAGTCTAAAACTAATTTGAAAGTAAGATTGTTACTTCCGCTTCCGTCCCTATTCCGTATATGATTTAGCGCCGACCGACAGCAGATGCTCCGACTTCATTCCCCGTGCACAATTTCTGCTGCTCATCCAGGGAAATCCAAAGGTGTTGCCAAGGCCACCTGAGAGACAGGGTTGGACATGCCTAGAACACCTCATAGGGGAGTGGGCAAACAGATGTTCCAGTCCAGAGAACTCCTAAAGGACACCTCGGTAAACATCTGAAACTGTCTCCAAATCCAGATGAGGACAGGTTGGGGAAACTCCAATAATACCTCGAGCATCCGTAATACATAAACATGTAAACACTTGTAACAGGGAGATTTATGAAAAAGCTCGGCCATCCAGGCAGACGAGCTCACCGTGGGAGACCTGAAAATTGGTCTTTTGCGATCATCATGGAATCTTTTTTGCATGTTACAGGCTCTTTGGACGTGTCAAGGTTTTCTAGATGGCTCTTATTTTCCCATTTTCCTCTTGAGCAAACCCCACACGCAAAATTTCACAGCTGAACTAGCGGCACTGCTGTCTCTCTGTGTTTACCTCTCGGATGTACTATAATCTCCTACACAGTATAAACCAGTCATGGAAGATGGAGCATGTTTTCCTGATTGTGATGTTTGGTTTCCACTAAAGCAGAGTTTACTGAGGACAAACTGGAAATGCCTCCCATCCACCAGCACAACTATTGTTTACAGAAGCCAGAAAACCTCAGTCTCAAGTCTCGCAAACAACAGCCAGCTTGAGTAAGTATAGAAACTGCACAATATTTGTTCACAAGGACTCACTCAATAAAGCACTACAGCAAAAGTCAAAAGTTAGCTACATGCAGTAAAATAACATGTTGAATTGAAGTGGAAAAAGTCTCTCATTCTACTCTTTGTTGTGCTCTTTTTTAAATGATCTGTATTTGTCATATTGTCATTGCCATAAACCAGTGGTTCCCAACATAGGGGTTGGGGATATAACCCTAAATCACAACAACAGTCACCTCAGAGGACTTTAAAAAGTTGTAGATTCACCAACAATAAATCAAATAAAAGTGGGGTTGCAAGATGTATTTTAGATGTAATGCTATTATTGTTGTAGAATTCCAACTATTTCATTATATACACAGTTTCTTTAATAGTAATTAGCTTGATAAACATGCAACATTTAACCATTTAATAGGTTTTGTTGCTTCAAATTTTTGTTACTTGTATGTCAATGCATCTTATTTGAGCTTATTCTGGGGGTCTCTGTCTGAAAGGTTTGCCTTAAACTGTGATTCTAACATTAATGAAAAGGTACTCCTACATTTTCTGTGATAACTCTTGGTATGACCCAGTTCAGTTCTCAGACCAAGAGACAAATGGTTTGTTTGATATTGCTTTATACCTGTAATTGCAAAGTGTTGAAAATGACCTTTTTAATTCCTGTTATGTGGTATTTATTATCCACAACAATCACTGTGTCAATGTTTGCATAGGCACTTTTGAATGTAGGGTAGAATAACACAGCAGTCATGGATACGGGACGTCCTGTCTACACTATCCCCCTAACCCCTTCTGATGTGGGACCTGCCGCTCCTGCCTCCTCTCACTGCGGTGTCCCATTTCTCTTATTATGGCAACTTTTCACGAGGAAGTGTCCAAAGTCGTTAGCGGCAGACTCTTTACAGCTTTTTGACATGAGGCGATAGCAAAAGGGCGGTGAGCTGAACTTGTAAAAGCGTGTTCTAAATTTGCATGATGGATGGTGGCGGCGTGTGATGGGGACAGGCTGCAGCTCTAATGGCTCTCAGAGGAACGTCATCAGCTGTTCCCACTGCACCGGGCCGGAGTATACGTCCGAGCTGGGAGGGCTGCAAGCACGAGCCGATGGTAACTGGTTTTAGGAAGTGGCAAAGGTCAATCAACAGTATATGATCAAAATCTTAGAGCCATGTTTTATTCTTGTCAGCATCGCTTTGCACATGCATTGATTTTATGATTTATGGGTTAACCAACGATAGATCTTTATGCAATATTATGGCACGTAAAATGTAGGGCACATAACAGCATAAATGTGATGCACTTGGGTCTGCTATGTATTTCAGGAAATGGCACAATGACATTTACAGTGGTAAAATAAAAAACAGTTAGGGACATATTTCTCAATGGTTGTGCAGAACTAATTATCCCCCCTATTGAATAAAATTGATTTCTCATGCACATGTCCCAAACCAGGGAAATGTCTGACTGTTATGAAGCTAAATTGGAAGTTCAGACTGGAAGACTGGAGAAACTGTATGTGAACAAGCTCACATCTCTTAGTCCTCCCCTTGTAGCTGCGCTGCAACAGCGATCAGTCAATCCCACTCAGCATTTAATCACTGCCCTGCATCGAGCTTTCATATTGTGCGGAAAGATTACATTTGTGCAGCCTCCTCCTCCCCAACACTGCCTCGTCTGCCGGACCCTTCTCTTAGCTACCATCACCAGGGTCTAGGCTCCGAGGGATTTAATCTCATAATCTCTATTTTCATTTCCCCTTTTGCATTTGTCACTCAGCGTTCTTCTGGGGTCTAAGCGAAAAATTAATCCCATACGACTACAACAAATGTTATTCTCATGACAGATTTCTTGCCAATTTGAGTCTCTCCAGATTGAATTACTTCGTACATGCAATTTCAACATATTGAGTGATAAATATGCCCTCAATTCATATGTTCTACGTAATTCTAATGTAGTAAAAGAGCAAATGATAGGGTTTTTTTTTTTTTTTTTTTTCCGGCGCATGCTCTGCTGCGACGACACGGCCTGTCACTTGTCTGTCATGTCTTTAAGTTTTCATCCTTTCTGTGTGTAAAAAAAGAAACGTATGCAACATGCTGAACCTGAGCAAGATTATTCTACTAACATTGTCAATACTGTGGCTCGCTAAGAACTGTGGGGCCCTACACCTGGGAATAAGCGGCTATGCGCCACTCACCTATAGCCGGGACGAGCTGCTCCAACTACGCTTGTCCTCCTTAAGTCTCCAGAAGCCTCCAGTAAATTTTCCCCCAGAACTTCGACCGCGGAAACGGGGCAGAAGAGGTGGGGTTCGTACCCGGTTGAGGAAGCGCCCCTTCAGACCCCCTCTGCCCTCCATAATCCTGGCTAATGTCCGTTCCCTCCGCAACAAAATGGACCTTTTACACTCCAAATGTCGATTTGAACGGACCTTCAGAGATGCCTGCGTCATTGCCCTGACCGAGACCTGGCTGGACGGGACCATCTTGGACTCTGAGGTCAGTCTCGATCAATTCACCATCTTTCGGGCGGACAGGACCAGCAAGTCCGGGAAGCGAAAAGGTGGCGGAGTTTGCCTCTTCGTAAATAAGCGATGGTGCGTTAACATCAAAATCCATCGCACGATCTGCACCCCGGATTTAGAACTGCTGACTTTGTCCTTAAGACCATTCTATCTCCCACGGGAATTCCCCTGCTTGGTGATCAGCTGTGTTTATGTGCCCCCGAGTGCTAACATCAAGGCAGCAGCGGAGCTACTAGCCGAGGATGCTAGCTCAATGATGGCCAGGTATCCCAATGCTCCGCTGTTTATTGTGGGTGATTTTAACAACTGTAGACTCGACGCTGTCATGCCATCACTGCACCAGTATGTGGATATTCCCACGAGGAAGCAAAACACGCTGGATCTGTGTTACGGGAACATTTCTGATGCGTTTGTAGCTCGGGCGCACGCACCACTCGGCTTCTCCGACCACAATGTTGTTGTTTTGATCCCGCACTACCTGACGGGGCTGAAACGCGCTAAGCCAACCATCCACAGCGCCAGCGTGTGGTCGGAGGATGCAATTGCGCAGCTTCAGGGATGCCTGGCGTGCACTGATTGGGATGTATTTCAAGGGGACCTGGATAACAAGGTCTCAGTAATCACTGACTATATTAAGTTTTGTTTATTATCTACAATACCTACCAAAACGTTTAAGAAATATCCCAACTCAAAGCCCTGGATTACTTCTCACATTAAAAACAGTATGAATGAAAGGCACGCAGCCTTTCATTTAAATGACTGGAGCACTGTCAATACACTCAACAGACAGATTAAAAATGATATTATGAAAGCTAAACTTAAGTTTAAAGATAGGCTTGAGCATGAGTTTGGCAGTATGAACACTAAACAAGCATACCAGAAAATTAAGCTCCTCACCGGTCATACCCCAAGTTCCAGTCACCATGTAACAACAGACCCCACCATCTTTGCAAATTCATTGAACGATTTTTACACCCGTTTTGACTCAGTCGACCACTCTGCCGTCTGTGAAGAGCTGCTCAGTGCCCTGCCCCTGGACACCCCATCACAGCCCCCATTTACGGAGGGGGATGTACACCTACAACTTAGCAGGTGCAAGATGGGCAAGGCACCAGGCCCTGACGGTATCCCGGCCAAGGTGCTGAAGTTGTGTGCCATGGAATTGTCACCAGTCCTTCACTCAATCTTTTGGGACTCCTTAAGGCTGGCACACATTCCCACAGCTTGGAAAACTTCCACAATCATCCCGGTTCCCAAGAAGCCCAGACCATCCGAGCCAAACCACTACAGACCCATTGCACTTACCTCCATCATAATGAAATGCTTAGAACGACTCATACTTCACTCCATCCTCCCGACAGTCAGACCCCTGCTGGACCCCCACCAGTTCGCTTACAGAGCCAGACGAGGAACAGAGGATGCTGTTTCATGTCTCCTCCACCCCCTCCTTCAACATCTGGAACTACCTGGTACGTCTGCATCCATCCTGTTTATTGACTTCAGCTCAGCATTCAACACAATTCAGCGCCCTCAAATAATCAGGAAATTCCAACTCCTCAACCTGCCCCCGTTCCTCATTCGCTGGACTCATAACTTCCTCAGCAATAGACCACAGGCTGTCAGAGTTGACTCAGTGACATCATCCACCATCGTCACCAACACTGGCGCCCCCCAGGGGTGTGTATTAAGTCCATTCCTGTACACCCTCTATACAAACGACTGCATCAGCCCATCTCCAACCACCACATACTTCAAATATTCTGATGACACTGCCATTCTGGCCCTCTTGACAGATAATAATTCCATCACTGCCTACCATCAGTCCATCTCCCACTTCACAGAGTGGTGTTCTGAAAACTCCCTGGAACTGAACACGGACAAAACCAAGGAACTAATTTTCCACTCTCATTCACACACCCCAGACCTGCCTCCCACTCTCATACACAACAAAACAACAGAACGGGTTAATCACTTCAAATACCTTGGACTCACACTCGACAATAAACTCACCTTTGAACAACATGTCACAGATATCCATAAACGTTCCCAACAAAGACTCTACATCCTTCGTAAGCTCCGTGCCCTCTCTGTCTCTCCAAATCTGCTTCTGAAACTCTACTCTTCAATCATTCAACCTATTCTCCTCTACTGCTCCCCCTGTTACTTTAACATGCTCTCCATCACCAACAGAAACAAACTCACTAAAGTCACACACACAGCATCCAAAATCATCAGTCTCCCCACCGCAGACCTCTCTCAGCTCAACCTCACAGCAGTAACACGCATGGCCCGGACAGTAAGCACTGACCCAGACCATCCCCTCCACACCCACTTCACTCTGCTGCCCTCAGGACGCAGATACAGAACTCTAAGATGGAAGAGGGCAAGATTTAGTAAAAGTTTTGTCCCTTCAGCGATAGCAGCTCTAAACAGTCTGTAATGTTGCCCTTGTTCCTGCGTTGTATGTGTTTCCCTCCCTTCGGTGTCTCTTGTGTTTATTGTAACCTGTATGTGACAGTGCCTGTGAAAATGAATTTCCCTCAGGGGACAATAAAGGTCTATCTATCTATCTAATGGTCAAACGATGAATCACAACTACAGTGTTTCCATAACTGATTAAAGTGATTGATAACAGAGCAGTAATTAGATGTTTAATTCATTTAAGCTTCATAGATGACGTTAAGATAGACTAACATTACATATTTTTGTTCTGGAAAACTCTTTGATCAATGGAAAGAATAATCGCTTGAATAACACCATCCCTGTTTTTTATCCCAAAGCTAAGTCTTCTTGAGAACTAAACTCAATGTTTGGAGTGCTCCGCTTTCTTTGTTTTCTTTGTCAATGTCAACTTTATTTATACAGCAAAATTAAACAAATTCAGTTTTCTGACTTTTTCCCAACCGAGAAATGAACTGCTCAAACTCCATGTTTCTTTCTTCACATTCTCACTCCTATCTGAGGTCATCACCTTTTGCAATATTTTATAGTTTTATTGCCTGACAGAAGCATTTGTTCTCCCACACTACTGGAACACACACTCGTATAAATATTCAGTGTCTGGTTTGTGAGTGCAGTGCAGCTGTTTCCTCCTCTGATAAGTCACGCTGTGATTAAACGCACACCACCACCTCTGGGCGCCTTTACAGCACACACTTTCCACCACTTTGATTGCAGAATTTAACCACAAGGACCAACACATTGTATCATTGGACAAAAAATATAAAAACAAACTACGCAATGCCAACACCATGCCAGGTCGTACATGGTTAAACTACTGCAGTACTATTACGTGCACTTTTTTATTTTTGAAGGCGCTGGAAAACGGCTGCAAGTCCTAAGTAACTCTGAAACAGTTGTTGTTTTGTGCTTTTGAATTTTTATTTTTATTGCTTTTTTCTATCTGAGATGTTGCTGCAGTACAGTGTTCAGGGGTTTGCACTGGTCCAGACCAGAGCAGAGAGGATTCATGGTCCGAACTAAGCGGATCTGGTGAAAATCCACTGGAGGAATGCTAACTTTTAAAAAAATGCTAGTGAAGCATTTAGCATTTTACTTTGGACTTGAGCAGAGAAAATGGTCCGAACCCAGAGGCTACTCCACCTTGTGACCTGTCGTGCTCCACCCAGAGGTTACTCCATCTCTGCTGGTGTGACCCGTCCTGCTCCACCCAGAGGCTACACCACCTCTGCTACTGTGACCTGTCCTGCTCCACCCAGAGGCTACACCACCTCTGCTACTGTGACCCGTCCTGCTCCACCCAGAGGCTACACCGTACCTCTTCTGCTGTTGCTGATTATTACTATTTTTTTACTTTTTAGAATGACCAATTTTATTTTTTGTTTTTGCTGCTACTGGACACTTGAATTTCTCCTACGGGGATCAATAAAGTATCTATCTACTGTATCTATCTACTTGTTCAAACCCCAGCAGCGAAGTTTGAGCTGCACTTGAATTGAAGTTTTCATTTTGTAATGCAAAACGTAACCAAAATAAGGACAACTCACGCTACATCCCTGTTTTATTTGGACACAACATGAGATAATGTCGAGGTGTTTTAACGCACTGTTAATGATCAGAGCACTCTGATGTTCAATCCAATCAATTTCAGACAGCTAGTGCTAGAATAATTACCTAGAGGACCCTCATATAAAGTGAAAATTGCATGGCGCAGACAAAAAATGCCGCCGCAGCAAGAGCTCTGGTGTATACTATGGTGCACACTGGGGCCTTGCACAGTTTTTCCAATGAGGTTTTACTGCAAATGGCAAATAAATGAACAAATTAAAAAAATATGTACTGTACATTGGTTGCATTGATATACAGGCAGCAGGGATTAACCTAAAATCAAACAAATCCAAACAAAACCAATTAGATTACTGTATGTGATAGTCAGTGTGACATCATCCACACAAAATTAAACAACAGCAGAATGTGCGGTTTATTGTTACCTTCCCAGCAGTGCTCATTTGAGGTGACTAATGGCACGTTACAAGCTTAAACCTGTAAACGTAATGATTAATGTGGTCGGGGCCTTCTGCCAGTCGCCTGGGTCTGGGTAAATGTGTTTAAGTTGAGTGACATAAAAACTGCTTTGGGGAACAACTGCTGGTCACAACGGAGAGAAACAATGTATTTAAGGATTGTGTTAGTGTGTGAGTGTGTGAGTGTGTGAGTGTGTGAATGTGTGAGTGTGTGAGTGTGTGAGTGTGTGAATGTGTGAGTGTGTGAGTGTGTGAGTGTGTGAATGTGTGAGTGTGTGCTTCTCTGCATAACGTGTTTATCTGTGTGTTTGTATTAGATTAGACGTGTCTATATGTTAGATGACTATTGTAAATAAGGTTTTTTTTATTATGTTTTATGTGTTAACAGGAGTTGAGATTTAGCCTTTGCCATAATTGTTCCATCAGTCGCATCTTTTGCTGTAACTTTGTATGACTGCATCGTGCAAAAAAAAAAGAATAAATAGATAAATAAAATAAAATAATAAAAAAAAAACAATAAATCAATGTATAAAAAAACAATACATAAATAAACAATTCATACAAAAATACTTAAATACATAGACATATAAATAAATAGATAAATGTGGTCTTTAACTATACCACAGTTCATCTTTCACAGGCTTTTGTTTCTGTTTTATGAATTGTTTCTCTTGTATCTCGTGTATACTCCAACATCATATAATCACTAAAATGACAATTACCTTTATTCAAAGTCAGGAGATTTGTGATTAGTTCAGAGTGAGGTTCTTCCTGTGTAACCCTCAGTCCTGCACAAAGCCCTCTGCAGCTCTAATTATACCTGTCACAAGAAAGAACAATAAGAACATTCATAAAAACTATCACCAGCTCCTTGTCTGTTCACATGACACTTGAATATAACGGATTATGAAAAAGTATGGGAAAATGTCAGAAAGTAAGGACCGGGCAACTTTTAAACTACCAAGATGTGAAATGTATCGCTCCGTTGGCATGAGTTCAGAATAATATATCTTCACATGAATGACAGACCTCTCACCATTCCCAGGATAACTGCACCTGTGTTATGGAGAAAACATTTAACAATCTTGTGCATATTTCATCTCCAGTGCAGGCTCCATGTTGAGCTGAGCCCCAAACATCAGGAAACAGACTGTGGACTGATGGCTCCACACGCAGACAGTCCGTACATATGTTAGTCTTTACATGCTCTTTGTTGCTGCAGGATCAAAGCTTTTCACTTGATTTTACGACACGGTTTCGCAAGTTTGCAGAAGAGGTTTTGCTCTTCAAATTCATGTGTGAAACGTGTTCTGCTGCATGCAAGACCACCGAAATATTTGGTAATCCACATAAATGAAATGCAAATATGTCCAGAGTGTCTGTGAAATAGCTTCTTTCCTTATGTTATAAATGAAAACAGCAATGGGAAAAATATGCTCCTTTATGGTAGAGATGAAGAAAAAATACATATGAGCCACACTTTGATGTCTTATCTGTGTCCTCTGTGACTTAAACTATATTTTTCATTCCCATTTTTTACTTTGGTGTTACTTTTTCTTAGAAACTTGTGAAACAGCAAAGCCCATGATCTCTTTTCAAAGCTAGGCTGATGAGGCAGGGCTGGTTTTATCTCACCCAGGTCTAAAGCACGTATGTGGGCAGAGCTTCACTGGAGGCTGGCTGGTTTCGATGACCAGGTTTCAGCTTTCAGCCTTTCTAGTTTAGGAAAGGTTAATCTTGTCTTCTTTGTAGATTCATTTATTTGGTTCTTCTATTCTAGATGAAGATTGTGTGTCAAAGTATTGATATAGCCACCTTACATTTGTCTGATATAGAAACATTAAGTCACTTTGCTGAATTTCTCACTATTCAGAATGTATTTATTAATTTATTTTGTTGACAGGGATATTGCACATTAAATGTATAGGTACAGACGGACCTAGCCTCAAGCTAATTTTCATCCTGCACTTGTACGGTTTTCAAATCATTTAAATTTAGATTTTTTTCATATTTTAAATGTATTTCAAACTTACAAAAGTTAGATAATACATGTGTTCCAAGTACAAAGACACAAGTTGACGTCTCTGAAATCACACACCTTTTCCCAGAATCATGTATGTAGGATTTCTTGTTTGTCTTACTCACATTTGAGCAAGACAAAATAGAATACAAATAATACAAACAGAACAAATTAGGTATTTTCAAAGTTTTCATAATTCGTCAAAATCCACTGTTTGTATTTCCTCTTTGCTTATTTGTCAGATGCTCCTGGTTGCGGTGTGCAGTTTGTAGTGGTGAAACTGTTGTGCGCTGAGGCCACATGTGAGAGTGAGACAGGAGCAGGGCTTTGAAGTGGCTCCGTTGGCTCCGTTGGCTCCACGCTGTACTGTACATATATCCCCGTGCAGACTCCACCAGGCCGAAGATCTGTGGTGACGCTCTCAGGAGGCAGAGGCAACATCTGATCCACATTACGGCTCAAAAACTTGGCTTCCGCTGTGACTTAGCTACTGCCACTCTGGGAACTGTTGAGAAGCTGAAGTCGACCAAAGCAATATTCTCACCGTGTACCCTTTTGGTTAGATGACTCAAAAAAAGCAGAAATTATCACGTATTTAGCCTAAACTTTATTCACCAGACATACTGTACGTTTCAAGCCAAAACAACTATTATGCCTAAAATAACTAAAATATTTAATAAAAAGACGAATGAATTTAATGAAAGGAGGTCAATCTGGCTTTAAAGTGATAGTCTGTAACTCTAAATTAATTAAAAATTTTAGGAAATGTGTTAAATTGACCTCCTGGCCTTAAATGTTGATATAAAATAAGTCATTTTATTAATTCTAATATTACAGGCAAGTCCCGCCTTCCCTGCTCTTAGCTGTAGTTCAGAATCCACGGTGCCGTCGAGGTTAACCAATCGAGTCATGCCAAGGGCTGTCAGTCATCGGCGCTGATGCTCGCAGCTGCGCGCATGCTCAGTTGTTTGTTTTCGCGGAGCCTCTATTAGGCTCTGGAACTACATGAAAACTGAACAAAGAATTCTGAACATCCGCGCTGAGGTACTTATGTATATTCTGAACCTATATCCATAATCAGATCCTCTGCAGATGTGTCCTATAATGTGCAATTCATGATAATAGCACTTCCTGGTTTGCCGCGATCGCTTTTTTGTGTGCATAAAAACATATTTTTTTTCATTAAAACGTTCACAAATAATTCTGAAAACCTCCGTGCATGTGTATTAATAATGTATATGTATAATATGTTCTCTGATTAACATTTCAAAGTGTTACGGAAACGTAGGTGTAGACCAATCAGAAAGGAAGGGGGAGGGAGCTTGCGTCGTTTTTTTCAAATCAAGTACCTCTCTCTCTCTTTCTGACAAACTCCAGACAATCACTTTAATGTCAAAGTAAATTCCAACATTCTCAGTACATTTTCTCCATGGCTCTTGATATTTTCAGTCTTTTCATAGAAGTCCTTGTAATAATAAAAAAAAATTTTGGTTGATTATTTTTTGTATAGCCCTACATCCCAACAGGTGTTATGTCTGGGATTCGACAAAGTTGTCAATTCAGCAACACAGATCGGAGAAACAATTGGGAAAAAAAATCATTGATCCATAAGAGGCAGACAACCAATGCCCATAAATTTGTATAGAGACGTCCGTAAATATCCTTGAATGTCCTGGATCAATACCACTGTCCATAGACCCTCTTGCATCGGCAAGGAACGACAACAACAAAAAAACAACAAAGTGAGAAACCCTTGCTCCATGGGCGGACAGGCTATAGATCGACCCCGCTCCCATCTCTGTGTGGAGCGAGAGGACCAATGCCCAAAAATAATAACAATTGTAAACCGCTTTGTGACTCTGGTCTGTGAAAGGCGGTATATAAATAAAGATTACTTACTTACTTACTTACTTAGATCCAGGACACAGGCTGTACAACGAGGACCGAGGCCACAAAACATAGAAACCATCTATTTATCGACTAAATTACTAAAGACCGCCAGCCCCTAAAAGCTGTATATTCTTTTTGTAGTATAATCTTCACTGAATACTGAATATTACTGAATACTACAGTACATATAACACACTACTAACTTCAAAAAGGTTTTGATTTGTACCATGGCGCTGGCATATACGTTTTTTTTACTACGTTCCCTCCGCTGTACAAAAAAAACATTCCTTTGTCAAAGCCTTTCATTTTTGCTCATTTCCTGCCTCTCAACCTGGAGTCTTTTTTAAAGTGGCATGAAGGCAGAGCGCAGGGAGCAGATGTGAAACGGATTAGGCAAAAGCGTAAAGACACACGTGCAGAGGTAAACAGAGCGTCGGCCGTTTGAATCCGAGCGCTAACAACAGGAAAATGATCCTGAATTTCAGAGCTCCGGACCCGTGACCACATTTGCGACGGCCGACATAAAGGCAGAGAAGAAATCAGCGTATCAACTTGAACAGCAGGAAAACCAGCCTTATCTGACTCTTCCAGAGAATAGTTTGCATTGCATCAGAAGTAAGTAAGTAAGTAAGTAATGTTTATTTATATACCGCCTTTCACAGACAAGGGTCACAAAGCGGTTTACAATTGTTATTATTTTTTTGGGCACTTGTCCTCTCACTCCAGACAGAGATGGGAGTGGGGTCGCCGAACAGAAGGCGCATGCCAGACCTATTGTACATATTTTTAGTGGTAGGGGAAACCGGAGTACCCGGAGGAAACCTACACAGACACGGGGAGAACATGCAAACTCCACTCAGAAAGGCCCTGGTCTGGCCGGGATTTGAACCCAGGACCTTCTTGCTGAGAGGCGAGAGTGCTACCCACTCAGCCACCGTGCCGCTCAGAAGACCGTATAACAATGTGGCTTATGAATTGCAATCTCACAACAACTTATTTTTATTTATTTATTTGTTTGGAGGATAAGCCCCTAGAGATGAAACATCTCGTTTTCGAGGGGGTCCTCAAAATTGTACAAAATGACAGATGCAGTAAGGCAGACAGTAGAGCAAACATAAAAAAAACACACACATTCTGATTGTTGTTAGTATAATGTCTGTTATACATTAACAGGGATTTAAGCTAGTATCTATAGTAGTGCAAAACCTTTTTCCACTGATTTTAGACAATTCAAATACTTTTCCAATATCCATCCATCCATCCATTTTCTTCACCTGAATCCATTTCTGGGTTGGGGGGGTGGCAGTCAGAGCCGCAGCCAGTCTACAGAGCACCAGCCCCTCACTGATCCTCCTGCAGGTGGTGAGTCCACAGGAGCTGAGATCTTTCAGTGGGGGCTTCAGGCAAAGTGGGGTTATGTGTCTTGCCCAAGGACACAACGACAGCAGTCATCAGTGGGAGTCATGAAGTAGGTCTTGAGGTGGGCTCGAACCCACGACCTTCAGGCTCAAAGGCCAATGCTCTACCAACTGAGCTACTGTCGCCCCACTTTTCCAATATTGTTCATTTATTTCAAGCATGCACACGATCTACACACAATTATTCAGAGTTAAAAAGACTAAATAAGAAAACCTGTGCATGTTTTTAAAAGGGATTGAGGCAAAAGGCAAAAAGCAAAAAGCTTATATTACAGTAATCCCATCCCCTCCCAGCCATTTAAACACATACATTATAATACAAAAACAAAGAATCAAAACGCTACAGTACCTTCCAACAAGACCACATGACAGCCCTATAACACACACACACACACACACAATATGGCAAGAGATAAGATAAGACCAAGACACACCAACGCTCTTTTTCACACAGACAAAGCCCAAAACATTCACTAACACCTCCCTCCCCTCCCTCATGCTGTTTTGTGTTATCAAGTCAGTATGAAGTGGTGTCTCTGTCATTACTTAAATAAACAGAGCAGGGCTTCTCTGTCCCACATGGTTTGTCTTCAGCAGATGGTGAATCCCTACAAGCCCCACCTGCACCTGTCACAACCCAGTGTTTTCGTCTCTAATATCCCACTGCTCTGCCCACTCTCCAACATTAACACGCACAGTTCATTGTGTCTTTACGGCGCTCCGCTGCAGCGTGACTCATTGCAAACAGTTTCAGAGAAAGTCAAGGACAGGAGCGGTGCCTCAGGTTGGACTGATCAAAGCCGCTGTGGCTCTGTCATTTGGGCTGTCAGCCTCTACAGGGATCATACACATGCACAGGACATAAGGCCCAGCTTTCCTCTGGAGAGCGAAGGTCACAAGCAGAAGTAATCTTTACTTTCATAGATTCACAGTTCACAGCGCTCTACAATTGTTTGCCATTTTCTAGATACACTGCGGGAAAATTCAAAACGGTTTTGCCTGAACACGGCTGAACCCTCCAGCCATCAGAACCACACTCATACCTGCATCTTTTTGTAGTGAAGGAACAGGAGCACCTGGAGGAAACCTATGCAGACATGGAGAGCACATGTAAACTCCACACAGAAAGGCCCCTGGGAGTTAAGCCCAGCCCTTCATCAGTGTGCCTGCATAGACTGCTGTCTGAACATTGCCACTTCTCTGACAATTTTTAAATCCAGGTTAAAAACAGTGAGGGATTTTGTATTTGTATCGATCTTTATTGTGTTCTGTGATTATTTATGGGTTAGGGTTAGGCTATCTTGTGTATGAATTGTGCCATACAAATAAACATACCTTCCCGGCTTGAATGTGTGTATGAGTGAGGGTTCCTTGAAAGGTACAGCCTCTACACTGAACCCACTCTCCCCAGAATGAAATGGGTTCAGGTACCTATGGGGATTAAGAAACAGCCTTGGTTTTGTTGGGGGTCCTGTATAAATATTCTGGTCACATCCCTTCATTCACTTCTTTTCACACAGCTCCTCCTCCTGCTGCTGCATGATATCATCCTATTGAGGCTCATACACACATCTGCAACAAACAGTCAGAATGTATGCTTTGGGTCAAAGTTATTTTTCAGGCAACTGCTTTAAATTCCAATCTTGATCCAAATGCGGCTGTAGCTGAATTTGTCCAGACATTATAAAAGCGGCCTCTCCTCCAACCGCAAACACAGGCTTGTTTTGCCAACAACAGTATTTAGAGGGATCAGGCTTCAGGGCAGGAATACTGATCTAATTGGATAAAATCGTCATTACATTTATCACATTGTATAAAGAACTGGATGAGAAAAGAGCAGAGGTCTGTGGAGATGCACCTGAAAATAATATCTGTTGGGTATGACCAAGATATATATATATATATAAAAAAAAAAAAAAAAAAAAAAAAAAAAGTCTATTCAGAAGCAGATTCATGGTACAGCTATTTCCATATTTTTGTATATGTCAGCCTCAGGGACCTCTCCTGATGTCTGCTATCAGCTTGTGATATTTTAATGACGATTGATTAAGAAACCACTGGAGATATTTTTGACATTCATTCTTTAATTGTATTGCAACTTTCTGAACAAGTTCCAAAGTACTTCACATAAAACATGCACAGAAACATAAATATAATCAAAGAAGCAACTGCAGGGACTCATACCTTGACTCTGTGCCTCTATAAAACATGTGTTTCTAATAGATCTAGATCAGGGGTGGCCAACCCGCGGCTCGTGAGCCGCATGCGGCTCTTTGGCTGATTCCGTGCGGCTCTCGGGCTTCCACACGACAAGCGTCAAAAACGCCTCGGTGGTGGCGCTGCCATTCATTCCCTATGTAGTTCTGACCCATAGTAAAGGCCGACTTCACTCCACTAGCCAGGCCACCAAAACAATCTGACATCGGCGAACGTCAATTCTGATTGGTCAGATGCGCTGTCAATCACTCTGCAGCTGCTGCTTCAGCTGTTGCAAACATCATAACAAACAACATGTTGCCTCGACCCATGACGTCCGTACGGAAAACAATTCCTTGGTCGCTGGATGAGGGCAACACCTTCCTCAGTTTGAGGAGAGGACACCAGCGTGAGCTCGATGGTTCCACCAGAAACCAGAAGGTGTTTGTGGAGCTAGCACTAAGGACGGAGCAGAATGATTCCCACAAACATGACAATGCAGAGAAAAGTTAAAAAGCTTAAAAGTGACAACCGTGAAATGAAAGATCGCAGCAGCAGTAGAGTAGAGGCAGACCCGAAAAGTCTGGAGGTGGTTTGACCAAATGGATTACATTTACGGACATCGGCTAAACACCGGCTAACATGCTAAAAGCAGCTAACACCAGCTAGCGTTACACCAGGAGATAAGCCAACTCTGCCTGGTGAGTGTCTGTCTTCAATCAAATGCAAAAGTATCTGGTCTTATGCTGAACATGTGTCTGTGGTTCTAAATCAGCTAAAGTGGTGTTGGTGTTATGTGTCAAATCTATATCTTTTACTAAACGCAGTCAGAGTGAATCATGGTTCGATGAAGACAGTTGTGTTTCTGCTGAATACTGGGTTGAAACTTGATTTTTTTTTCTTGGTTAGAGATTGAAAGCATTCATTTCGGAATCATAATTGATGTTCGCTGACGTGAAATTGTTCTGGTATCGACTCTCCCAGTTAGAACCAGGGCCAAACCATTAATAAAAAGTACCGGGGAGCGGTTGAAGCGAGCGGTAGAAGCGCACGCAAACCAGGGAGAGTCCAGTCCTTTAGTGCTGTACGAGCCAATTTCTGTCATTATCATGTTGATGACATTTACAATAAATTGCATGTGTGTGCGCGTGTCTGCTCGTGTGCGTACGTGCGCATGTGCGTGCGTGTGTAAGGGTTGGGGTGATGTTTATGTAGTGCACATTTGTATGATGTGGCTCTTTGCTGTAACACGGTAAAAAAATTGGCTCTTAGTCTCTGACTGGTTGGCCACCCCTGATCTAGATAATATGTATTGTAACCATCGCTTCCTCGACCAATGCACAAGTCATATTTACAAGACATGGACTTGGCACAATTTTCAGCTCAATATACTTCATGCTTTCCTTTTCCACTTTAAATACAATTTTACAAACACATAAATTGTTCTTGAAATGATTGGTTTGGTGAAAATCTCAAGGACCCTGGAGTATAATTTCTGCGTAGAATCACTCGGGTCCCTCAGACCGAGAGCCTTTCCACTGCAGGGTCCAAAGCAAACACATAAAGATCATGAGCCATGGAGGAGTGGGGAGAGAAGAGGAGCCCAGGCCAGGAGCCCGGGGTCCGCACCACTCTACAGCCTCTGCCCACTGTGAGACACACGGCTTAAGGAGATTGAGCAATATATAGTATGTATCTATTTGAAAGTTTTGTCAAAAATATATGCAGTTTTTATCAGCAAGTTAGTTGTCACGAGTATTACTGAGTGGAGTTTGACAATAGATGAAAGGCTTCCATAGTTGGCATTGCAAATCAAGTCTATTGCATGTACTGTATGTTCAAAGTAGCTGGACAAAATAAAATAATACAAATTATAGTATTTTTTTACGTTTTTCAGTGGTCATTTTCAGTTGCATTCCCAATTGCTTGTCTTGCAAGGAGATGATGCGGTTGAAGCCAACCATCACTCTTCTGCTCCAAACACAGCTCTGACCCAAGTTGCAGCAGGCATGGTTTTATTAGAAATGAACACACACCACATATGCATATAAGGAGAAGAGGAAAAAACATTAACCCTTTGTTAAAAAGACTGCACAGACCCCAGCAAGGGGCCAAAGACTTCAAAAGGCCAAGATTTCTCGAGCTAAAGGTGAACTTCCTTTGGCAAAGTAGATTAACATGCATCCTCATGAGATTGGAATAAACTTAACCATTCATTACTATGGTAACCCCATGATAAGCCCATTCAAGCTTTATGATGTTTACAACCCAGCACTGTCATAGCAGCAATAATGATGTTACGGCATGTGATTCTTCTTTGTTCTGACACTTTTGCAGTAATTGTAATCTCAGCTCTCAGCTCAGATCTGTGACAGTCCAGGCTCTGCAGCAGAACTGCAGTGAGAGGACAGGATTAGTCTAAATGATGAGGCTGAGGACTGGTGTAAGCCTGGGATAAGACCCCTCCTCAGCCCTGGAAACTACTGAGGCCCACCCATCTCCTCCACACACTAAATTACCAGTGTCCGTGCATGGAACTCATCAGACAGCCAGTAAAAACCTCACCTGAGCATGTGGGCCGCGCTGAAGACCACATCAAACTCTCCGCTGTCGAGCTGCGCTGCTTTCTTGGCCATCTCTGCCGCCTGCATCACCCGAAGCTCCACCAACAAAAACTGACCTGGAAGCACCAGGGACAAACCTGAGTGAGCTAGAAGGAAAAACAAAACTCAGCAACTTCGATCACTACAAAACGGCTCAAGAAAACCCTCATGAATAATCACTTGGAAAGCTGGCACATCAGATGTTGGATTTGAACATTTTGGCTTTATTAAACATGATTGTGTAAACAACAGGTGAGGATTGTGTAAAGTCTCCACGCCTCAGACCCACAAATAACTTCTGCACATTTAGAAAACGAAGATTCAAATACATGTTGTTATATAACTGTTATTAATTTTGTGTCTTGTGTTTTATTCATACATTAGACCCTTTTCTCTTTTGGCTAATACTATTTCCAAAATAGCCAACCACAGCAGACCTCTTACTGTAATACCACATGTTTCTCACGGGAAATATCTTGTTAGTATCACGGCTGCAGTTATCGTTTTTTCAGTATAGAAATTTTTTTCCCTTTTTTTCTTTGTTGTTGTCTTGTATTTAATGCCATTTGTTTGTTGTTTTTATTTCATGTTCAAATCAACTTTCATTAATTCATTCATTTTGTATATGTATATATATTGGTAACTTCTATATCGCATCAGTTATTCTCACTTGAGCTCCGAGTGGGATTTTAACCTTTAATTGGTGCCAAGTAAGACATATGTGTTTCCTGCAGAAGAGAAGATCCGCTGACCTATCGATCGGCTAAATGTCATTGTGTTAAAAGGAAAAAGATCACTGCAAAATAAAAGAGGTTGCAGACTGACAGTGATGGAAGATAAAGCCCTTTAAAAGAAAAAAAAAACATCCATATTATCTTTTCAGCTTTTGATTAATAATGCTCCTATTGTTGCTGCAGATTCAGGAAATGTGCAAATTGGTAGAAAAAGATACTAATACTATTCACGGTATTCTGTATTGTAAACAATGCGGGTCAGAGGAAGTTCACAGACTTTCTACAATCAAACACAACCATATATGCGTTTGAAGTTGGAAGACTTTTGCGCGTATTTCTGTGTATTTGTCGTTCACTTTGAAAGATTTATCACAATGTAACAGTGCTAACCTGGGCTTTGATGCTCTTGTGTTGAGAAGGAAGGTACTGAGGTTATGCAAATATGATCTTTCAGGGTTTAGGTAAGCAGCCACGTGTGCATTCAGAGCATGAGTATTAAACAGGCTGTAATTTGGAGACAGAAGTAGTCAATAGAAAGCTTATAAACTTGCACTGACTACAACACATGTAGTAGTTGTTCTTTTGTGGGATCCAGCTCATGGCCTTGAGGATGTAGTGCACGGCTTCTCTTTTCGTCCCGCGAGAATGACACAGACAGAACATATTTGTAGTTATTATTTGACCCACTCATTCTAAAAAGACCCCAGAGTTTACCCCAGGGTTATTGTCCAAACAACACACACCTCCTCTAAATACTAATCTAAATACCTTCTAATAAAGAGACATCAAAGCCTTGTTGTGTCTGCAGCTGATTTACTACACACTGTTTTCTGTTAAAAAAAAAAAAAAAAGTAAAAATAAAAAACAACTTTAAAAACACAGACAGTGTGTGTGTTTGTGGTAATGTCAATGTCAATGTCAGCTTATTGGTATAGCACATTTACAACAACACCAGCTGCCCAAAGTGCTTCACAGGCACAAATGAAAACAGTGTGTGTGTGTGTGTGTGTGTGTGTGTGTGTGTGTGTGTGTGTGTGTGTGTGTGTGTGTGTGTGTGTGTGTGTGTGTGTGTCTGTCTGTGTGGTGACCTTTACTACTAATGGCAGCATGTGACTTTGAGTAACACACTGTGAGATTATTCGGCTTGTGCCTGATCATGGAGGAAATGACTTCTTCAATCTCTGCAGCATTTTGGATTCACCTCTGTTCCTAACGCATCCTAACCAGAGGCTACATGACGCAAGCGCAATAATGTAATGTAATGTAATATATCCTAACCTAAAACCTAAAAATTTACGTTAAAAAAGTGTGTTTTGTTATGCATTGTATGATTTGTATGCACATGTGAGTGTATTTTTGGTGTCTGAAATAAAGTATGTGCAAAGACAGAAGTATACTGTCTTTGCACATTCACTCGGTTCATCACAAGTTCATTTCCTGCTTGGAGCTCTTTGCCCAATTTCAAGCATTTCCACAAAAACTAAGAAGTAACTTGCATACTTAAATTGCAAGCCGTTTTTTGTACAGTGACAATGATGCATTAAACATTTGTAGTGTTGGGCCAAGTGCTTTGTGTCCAGGTGAGATATAAACACATACACAGTTGGATCTTCCTGTTTCAACACAAACATGATGATAATCTTGTCTCCGCCCAAAGTCTGACCTCCACTCCAACTTCCACTGTGTCATGTGTTTATTTCTTTTGCACACTGTCCTTTATTCTGTAGGTATGACTTCCACTAATCTGGAAACGCCTATCGAAGGGTGAATCTGAGTCTGACCTAAACTTGTGACCGCAGTGGAGCCTCGGAGTCGGTGAAACTAAATTTACCCTGGAGACTGTGACTTTGCTTGTTCTAGGACATGTCGCTGACCCTCTTGGTGATAAAATCTGTGCAGGACTGGAACAACACAGCACTTATATTTCTGTAGTTTCACTCCTCATGTTATGCCAGCAATTACATTTGCTAAACAGTCCTCTTGCTCCGGCTTCAATTTCTTGATAGAATTCGACCTTTGCCATTGCCAAACTACAGCCTGTCCGTTTGGCGCAAACTCTTAACGTCACCCACAACTAACTACTACAACCGCCTCCCGCGCTTGCTGATTGGTCGGATGGAATTCTACAAATGTAATCGCAAACACAGGGACCAGACCCAGACATTACATGCAGGGAAATGATTATTGAGTGGAGTGTACGGATGGCTTGGGCCAGGCTAGCTCCATCCACCTTCCTAGCAATTCTTCCAATCTTCCCAGCCACATAGCATGACGCTCCCCCCACTAGATTTGACACATATAGCATTAGGTTTGCGCCACACAACGTTTTGCATTTGCGCCAAAAAGTGTTTTTTTTTGTCTAATCTGACCAGAGCACCTTCTTCCACATGGTATGGTTATGACTTCTGGCAAACTTGAACGGGATTTCTCATGGCCTCCTTTTCCTCGTTTCTGAAGTATAGATAAACTTTGAGTAAAATGTTGTAAAATGTGGGCCTCCAGTTACTTTGCATATATTGTATATGACTTGATGTAGAAACTGGATCACTCGTGCGTTCTGGGACGACTTTTGGGAAGCGTGCCAATAGCCTGTCCATCCCAGTATGTTGCAGCTGTGTTCTCTTTTTAATAAGGCTGATTGCAAACTGTAGGCTGTAATGTTTCATCACTGCAAAAAATGTAATTATACAGTATTTCCAAATCATGAATCCTTCCTGTGCTGACCCCACACCTGTAAAAACATGAACTCCTCCTTCAACGTCATCCAAAAATGCTCAAATGATTACACAGGTTCAACAACACTGGACTGCATCAGAGTAGTGGAGCTAAATTAATATTATCGTCTTCTATTGCTCTTCAGAGACCTGCTGGACTCAGGTGTTGTCATTCCTCTTTAGTGTGTCACAGGTTTCAGCCCACACAGATCAGGGAGATGTGGAGATAGAGACACAATTTAGACTCTGGGACACAATCTCTGCCTGAGAGGGATTAGCAAGGATCACTTCCTGATCATAGGATTGATAAGAGTCTTTTCTCTACCTCTATTTAATACTTGAACTCCGAGAGCAGTCAATATGACGGCTTTCAGTTTTGGAAGTGTACATGTGTATCTTTTTGATTTTCCTAAATGTTTCACTTGTTTCTGTTTTGATATATAGTTTATTTATATGTCATTGTTTTTCTTTCACTCCCAGAACAATTATTTTCCACTGTAGAAGTGCTAGTTACCATGGCAACACACTGTTTATTCAAACTATTTTTTGCAAGTTATATTCCCCCACGTGTTGAAAGTGAGTAAAGGTAAAAAAAAAACGTATAGACTACCTACTTTTAATAAAACTGTTTTTGGGGGATTTTTTCAGAACTCAATCGGTTTGAATTGGAATTAATTTGAAAAAAATAAAAATAAAGGTAAAATCCCATCACAAAAAGCACAATCTGAACCTGTAGACAAAACCTTCAGTTTCATTCACTGTATATCTCTGCACATGTTGATGATTGGTTTGGGCACTGCCTTTATTCTACGCCTCTAATGTATGTTTATGGTATTTATATTTATTTGATACCATTGGTGGCTTTTAGGATATAAATACACACTCCTAAAATGTGCAAATACTCAAATAATAATCAATAATCAATCTAATGTGCCATTTATCAAACATGTGTACGACTTTTCTAAGGACAGGGTAACTTGTGACCATCTGGCTGTGAGTTGAAAGTGCTACCCACAGCCGTACAGAGACTAGTGTTGGTGTTTTTAATTTATCCATAAATAAAGCTCTGAAGTATTTTATCTTTGAGAGTATTTTGACAGGACCTCTTCATGTGAAATGCAAAACACTGGTGTCGTCTTACTGACTGCAGAGCGCTGGGTGAGATTAGCACCAACATCATCTCACATTTACATACACCCTCCACAGAGAAGAGAGAGAGGCCCCTGAGCCCCTCAGAGAGAAGCATTCTGGGTAATGTGTCAGTCAGAGCAACAGGGAGCAGTTACCGACCCGATCGTCTGTTTTGACACGGCTTTGGTCTGAAGAGGAGCACGAGGGGAAATGAATAATGCCAGCTCTAATGAAAATATTGTCAATTTATTGTTTTTTCAAACTGTTCTTTTCTCTTTGCATGTGTGAGGTAAGTGTATATTTTAATGTTTTTTGTTTTTTTTTTCACAAATTGTACTTCTGTAACCTTACTCTTCTGGGATCAAATGTAACCTTTCAATCTCTTCAGCTGAAACATATAAAAATAATATATTCCAGAGAACATAGATAATTATAGTGGAGAGAAATTTCTGTATTTTTTAACATTTAT